GAAGCTACAACTAGTGGAAAGCACATGCACATAGAGAAGAGATCAACTAAGTAAGGTCCGAAACATCACATCAAGCATGAACATGACAATGAGAAACTACAACTAGTGGAAAGCACATGCACATAGAGAAGAGATCAACTAAGTAAGATCCGGAACATCACATCAGGTATGAACATGATAATGAGAAGCTACAACTAGTGGAAAGCACATGCACATAGAAGAGAGATCAACCGGAACATCACACCAAGCAAGAACATGACAATGAGAGGCTAGAACTAATGGAAAGCACATGCACATAGAGAAGAGATCAACCAAGTAAGATCCGGAACATCACATCAAGCATGAACAATACAATGAGAAGCTACAACTAGTGGAAAACACATGCACATAGAGAAGAGATCAACTAAGTAAGATCCGGAACATCACCTACTATCATGTGAGTGAAGGCAAGAGTCTAAGTAGGCAAGATCACCAAGGTTGTGCCAAAAACCATCCATGAAAGAAGTGGTGCACTCCCTACTAGTGTGTAAGCGAAAGGCATGGACTTGAGTAGGCTAGATTGCCAAGATTGCATCAGAGATCGTCCATGAAAGTAATGGTGCACTACCCACTAGTGTGAAACGGTATTCACCAGTTCGCAGTAGCTGATGCAGATCCCAGGGCTCGATCCCTAGATCCCCACCTTACCTATGTACAGTACCTGTGTCAACCCGTAGAGTTGAACCTGCGACCTGTAGGATCGCTAGTGGTAAGTAGGATGTAGTAGGTTAGAGGGTATAGGGGATTCGAACTGTAGACCTGTCGGGTAGGAGTCTAGACAGTCCAGAGGAGCTGTAGACTTTCCGGAGGGTCAGAGTCGTAGCTGCTACTTACCTGAAAAGGCAGAGTCGTAGCTGCTACAGTACCAAAAGGCCCAGTAGATAGTTCTAGAAGTGGCCTTTCGGAGTCAGCCCCAGTTTAGGCAGAGGCAAGTGGGCAAGTGGTGGAAGTCCACCACGCAGAGTCAGCAGTCCCAGTCCAGTCAGTCCGGTCCAGTCAAGCAAGTACCGTCTGGGACTGTGTGCACCGGGGGCCAGGAAAACAGGGCAGACCAACGAGTCACAGAAGTATAAATCCAGAGGCCGCGCACAACCATTCATTCATTCTTGTGGAAGCCATGCGGAAGCGTTGCCTCAGCGTCTTGTGCGAGGAGGTCTGTAGTGTGCCCGAAGTCGAAGTGGGCCAGGAGCGTAGCATAGCGATAGGGTAAAGGCAACCATAGCTGCCATAGCTGTAGTAGAGTGTGTGTGTGTGTGGTGTGAGTGTGCAGAGTGATGCGTGTGGGATATCCAGGGTGATTCGGTGTGTGAACAGTGGGTTGTTGGGCGCTGAGTCGCCATAGCCAGTGGAAGTGAACTCGTACCTGAAAGCCATATCTCTGAGTACTGTGTGGCCGCATGTCGCCAGTTTGTTGTGCTGCTGTTCACGTGCATGAAAAGTGACGAGTCTGATTGCATTGGTATCGGAGCTGGTACCCGCTATTCCATGCGCGTCGTCGTTTGCAGGGTTGAGGCGCCATAGCGGAGGTGGCCGCTGAGGGAGATAGTCCGCCATAGCGGACCCGAGGTTGAAGAAGCCGCCGTGCACCTGCAAGAAGACCACGACGAAGAAGAAGACTGAGAGAGAGAGAGAGAGAGAGAGAGAGAGAG